TCTTTCTCCCAAACGATGTCAATGGCCTCCATAATCTTCCGCTTCTTCGTGTTGTCACCATCTGAGGCCTTCCAATTAATCTCGTTTCAAGACTTTGAGATGTGTTCCGCTAATTCTGATCTTTCATCATCTATTTTCCTGCAGAGCCTCTGATGTTCCTTGATTAGTGTGCTAATTTTTCTCTTTGTTTCGCCAATATATTTCTTTTCGCAGGCGCGGCATGATATACAGTAAGCTCCTAAACAATCCAATTTATCTACCCTTTCATTTTTCGTAGGTAGACTTTTAAAGTGTTGGTTTCTCTTTCATGGCCACCCAAATATTCTATTTCCTATATATTGGCCGCCGTTTTTAGTTAGTTCGCAGCGAGGTAGGCGTATCAACTTTTGTGAATCCTTCTCTGTCCTTACTGTTCTTTCCTAGTACCCGCTCTGCCATCGGATTTTCACTGCCCGTATGTTTCTTTGTATTACTTCGCCTTGGTAGCCGTTGCCGAGGAATATCATAGTCAATTCGTCCAACTCCTCGTCCCAGAATTCCACAACATTAAACGTAGGCGTCGGATTATCATGCTCATTATTCCTATCCTTTTCGTGTAATTGTGATTGGACTGTAAATTGAGTATTATCCCGACATAAGACTGCTTTCTGGACAATTTTTTTTGAACGTCCCATTGGAGAGAATCACATTAACATCCAGAAGCAGTAACCGCTCACCTTCCTCCACTTCCATCGTGAATTGAATTTTTTCATCCAGCTGGTTTATAATCTTCAAATATTCTTCCTCTTTTTCTCTTTCATGTCGTTAAAGTACGAAGTAATCATCCAGGTACCACATGAGCATTGTCGGTGGTTGCGGTGACATCTTTAAGTTCTCTTCTGATCAGCACGTCTATCTGAAGGTATTATTAAAGTTAAAAACTATTCCTCTCAAGCCCGAAACAACCGTGCTCCTGGAAAAAGGACTCAATTTTTCTATTCAACATAACAGAAGCCTTCTAGGAGACATTCTGGTAGAGATTATCAATATCACCGGCAAGTTCCCTGAGGAGAAAAACCTGCAAATGGAGCTGGAAGTAATTCCAAAGATCTTGACACTTCAGGAGCATACACACAGGAACAGATTTACCGTGATACGCAAATCCCTGGAAACGAATGAACAATTAGTCCTTAATGTGGACTAAGGAGGAGCGACAGTGATAATGGACAAAAAACTATGTACCGAGAAGATGGAACATAGTCTACGATACAAAACCACTTATCATATACTTAACAAGGATCCAACTATGAAAATCAATGGAATTTTAAGTGCCATGCTGAAAGATATGCATAGGAATTAGTAAATTGACGCATGGACAAGCACTTCAATCATAAGAAAGGATGTATGACCACCAACAGCCTACGGATTACCGAGGATAGACAAAGAGGGCGATCCACAAAGATGATAATCAACAACAAGTATGGAGCAACACACAAATTGGCAAAGCTTATGTTTGAAACTCAATAAATTAAATGAGAGGCTATCAAACATGGTGAAAATTTAATATGAATTTTCTCAAAAAATCAAAAACATGGTACTGTAAGAAACAGACTTATTGATAAGTTTTGATGTGGAATCCATGTATACAAATATCTCTGAAAAAAATGTACTAACGGCCCTGCAGGAAATTCAGGATCAGGAGTGATTCGTTAACACGACTAATCAACTTGACAATGAGGACGACCTATTTAACATTGAACGGAACCATCTATGAACAAATATTTGTATTTACGAAGGGATCGCCGCTCTCACCACTTTTGGCGAATGTTTACATGAACAAAATAGAAGAGAACATCAAGATGGCAACGTTCCTAGACGTAGCAGTTATTCGATCTAATGGGATGCTCAAAAATAAATTGTTCAGAAAGAAGTATTATGCTGGGATGATACTCAATTTCCGGTTTTATCACAATAACGGGCTAAAGGTAGGAATATTGAGATTGATCATCCGACAACTATGTTTAACGGAAGTGGAATTTTCGGACGAGGGTATGGATAACTTGACTAGGATATTCCTTATACGGCTACCCAGGTGGAGTAATACAAAGAAATATACGGGCTATGAAAGAAAATTAAGGACGAATAAGGATTCACAAAAATGGATATGCCTACTTTCCTGCGACCTAACTAAAAACTGTGGCCAATATTGAGGTTTTGCGTATCACGGAAAATCCGTTCCTGTGTGCATGCTCCTGAAGTGTCAAGATCTTTGGAATTACTTCCAGCTCCATTTCCAGGTTTTTCTCCTCAGGGAACTTGTTGGTGATATTGATAATCTCCACGAGGATGTCTCCTAGAAGGCTTCTGTTATGTTGAATAGAAAAATTGAGTCCTTTTTCCAGGAGCACGGTTGTTTTGGGATTAAGAGGAATAGTTGTTAACTTTAATAATACCTTCAGATAGACGTGCTGATCAGAAGAGAACTTAAAGATGTCACCGCTACCACCGACAATGCTCATGTGGTACCTGGATGATTACTTCGTACTTTAACGACGGGAAAGAGAAAAAGAGGAAGAATGTTTGAAGATTATAAACCAGCTGGATGAAAAATTCAATTCACGATGGAAGTGGAGGAAGGTGAGCGGTTACTGTTCCATGATGTTGAAGTGATTCGCTCTAATTGGACACTCAAAAAGAAATTGTTCAGAAAGAAGTCCTATGCTGGGTAATACTCTCTTATCAGTCCCATCACAATTACAGGCTAAAGAGGGGTATGATCATCCGAAGCCTATGCTTAACGGATGTGGAATTCTGGGACGAGGAGTTGGACAAATTGACTATAATATTCCTCGACAACGGCTAAAAAGGCGAAGTAATACAGAGAAACATACGAGCTGTAAAAATCCGATGGCAGAGCGGGTACTAGGAAAGAACAGTAAGGACAAAGAAGGATTCACAAAAGTTGATACGCCTACCTTGCTGCGAACTAACTAAAAACGGCGACCAATATAGAGGAAATTTAATATTCGGGTGGCCATGAAGGACAAACCAACACTTCAAAAGTCTACCTACGAAAAATGGATGGGTAGATAAATTGGATTGTTTATGAGTTTACTGTATATCATGCGGTGCCTGAGAACAGAAATATATTGGCGAAATAGGGAGAAAAATTAGCACACTAATCAAGGAACATCAGAGGCTCTGAAGGAAAATAGATAACGAAAGATCAGAATCAGCGGAACACATCTCAAAGACTTGAAACGAGATTAATTGGAAGGCAATAGAAAGAG